TCAAGGATGATAAGAATTAATTTGTAGACGATAATTTTATTATAAGATGTCCTGACCAAGCTCTTTTCAAATTCGGATGAGTGACTTATACTTACTTTAAAGGATTCTTCAGAAACGTGTACATTTAGTATTATATGTTCTAGTTAAATACACTGCAAACTTATTGTATTGGCGTGCACGATATATAATTTCCGTTAAAAATGATTCAATGTATCTTGAATATAAATTCAAATAAATGCAAAATACTTGATTGAGCAAAGGCTTCTTTCCACAAAAGGCGCTAAATTAAATTTACAGCTAAATCTTATACGTTCACATTACAAATAAGTGTTGAGTTGGTCTGTTAAATTTACGCATTGTGGTGAATATTAACTTTTCATTGTTATTATGTGATCTGTACTTCGAAATATAAGTTGTTCAAATCTTTGTACATTATTTTACGTGAAAGGCGACTCTTGTTCAAAGTCAACTATTAAACTGTATACTCTGCAAGTTGAATGGAAAGCATCAAATATTATTATACAACTGTATTTTTTATGAGAAAGCTCTATCTTGGCCTTTGTGTTTGTCAGGTATTTACGAATGTACATGCACCAGTCATTTTTAGATTGATACTTCTGGGTAACTATTTCTAAATATCTATAGAGCAAGCTTTAAGCCGATTCCATTTTTATCACTCGTAAAAACTTTTAGGACTTCCTGTCCACTCCAGTTTCATATACCTCAAAAATATTTCACGTGGTGGTAAGATGTTTTACGAGGTGTTTCCTATCAATGTGTTGTAGTTGTTTTTTCTTGTTAATGATTTTGTAAAATAAATAAATAAATAAAAATAAAAGTGTAGATACTATTTATTTTTAGCAAACAGAAATCAGAGTGTATAATGCTCACTTCTTTCTGTGATATTTCTCTCTTTTTTTTTGTTTGGGGACTTTTTTTTAAATTCTAAATGTTTGGGAAAGAGAATCCCGTGTAGTTGAGATGGATTTTAATTGAATTATGTGTACGTTTCATCATCATTGTCCTTTACACCCTGTGATGTGTAGGGCAGCAACAAACTTCCTCCACTCTTGTGAAGTTGTCTATACTGGGCCAACCTTCTCAATGATCCCCAGGTCTGGTGCATTGCTTTTATCTTCCCTTCAACTGTCCTTCGCCGTGATGTTCCAGACCTCCCCCTCTTTCTTTTGCCCTCTGGTGTCCAATGCAGTGCTGTTCTAGTTGTTAACTGGGGGTCCCCTAGTCATGTATGTGTACTTTTAGAGCTGACAAAAATACATCAAGTGAATTTATTGAAATTGTTTTAATCTTGAAAGCCTTGCATAAGGAATTTTACGTGCTACTCACCAATATTTTAGCTCTGCTAAGCTTTACTTATAAACTAGACTTTAAAATGTGAGTGGCTTTAAGGCTAGTCTTACAATAGTTCTAATAGTATTTATTTTGAAATAAAATTTAACATTTTGTGGCTCAAAACAGTGCATTCAGTTGTCAAAATAAAAAGCCGATGTTTGTAGCGTACGTGCTGGAGTATTTTTGATGACCACTGCTTCACACTTCTTCAAATTTTATTTCCTGATTGATCATGTTTTGTTATGAACTACACTCCTTCCATAGGTTAATTTTCGTGATTTTATTTACGATTGATTACATGTCGTATTCGATTTTTTTTGCTCTTACATGTAGTGGAGTCATCTAGCTAATCTTAGGGTTAAGTGCCAGAGATTTTGATTAAGGCATTGTACTTATAGCCATGGTAATATGGTTTCTTTATCCTACGCCTTTCATGACACAACCCTTTGTTTTTAGGTCTCAACTGAAAGATTCGCTATTTTCATTTCTAATATCCTGAAGGCATTTGGCGAAGGGAATAGTCACTATTTTTATACCCCCTCTTGAAAAGTGGGAAAGTATATAGTTAACGGGATGTCCATCCGTCTAGCTGTACGTCCGTTTGTTACGCTTTTGAGTACCCGTGTCTTATCCACAACTTCTCTAAAACCACTGAATGAAATTTAATGAGACATTCACAAATTCTTTGTTACATGGTGGCATTGTGTACCTTATATTTTAATTTTGATCGGACGCGTATTTCGGTTTTGCCAAAGCAAAAATTAACACTGCCATTCTCTCTATTATATTGAAGAGTACCTATCTCTTATCCGCAACTCCTCCTATACAATGTACCACTGAACATAACATTAAATGATACTTTCACAGATTCTGAATTGCATAATGTAAATGTGCTCTTCATATCAAAACTTTTGATCGGACATTTATTTCGGGTCTCTCAGAGCAAAACATGGACTTTGTAATTATAATCATTTGAACGGTGTGGGTATCATTTAGTGAGCTCGGTGCTCACAGAACCTTAAGTTAAATCTAAAAAAAAATAATCTATAATTCATACAAAAAATTGAAAGAATGTAAAGTTTCCATTAGAAATATATCTGAAAATCCCTTTTCCAATCCCGTGTTCTCTATTTCAAAAATGGGGAAGTTTCTAGTATGCCGGTCCCCAGAATCACGCGATTGCGCATGAGCGAGCTGTTATTTCCCTTGCCGTTGCTATGCAGAATGTAAACAAACCGCAATTTCCCACTCGCTTCAACAAAACGCATCCGATCGAGTGATTAGGGTTAGGTTATATAGGCCTAGTTTTCAAAATTGGGGTTGTTTTATAAATCCACTCTGTAGGCTAATCTTTCTGACTTTGGGCTAATTTATGTAATTTTTGCTCACAAAAGGCACTATGAGTGCCCTTAGTGACCAAAAACTTGCATGAATCAGCCTGTCGAATCGTGCCGATATCTTACACTTTGGTTTAGTTCATGAAATTTTTGCTTTACAAAGAACAGGAAAGTTTAAGAAATGAAAGTTCGGGTAAATCAACTCTATTGTCGAAACATGACGATTTTCAGCGCTGAGTTTAGGCAAGTTATTGTAAAAGCGACCTACCGTTAACTGCAGCTCGATATCCTTACCTCCTAATCATGTCCAAATATTCAGAACATTTTTCCTTTCAAATCGATAATGATGTACAATTCAATCCATCGATGATTAGTAATTAGCTAACATTTGTTAAATCCCTGTATTTCTCACAAAAATCACGCAATTTTAAGAGCATTGCACTTTGAGTCCTATCAGGCATTTCTTCATCACGTCAAATCACAAGTGACGCATCTCATGAACATTTATGAGATTACGTCAAAAATTGTTCATGTGACTACATTCCTAAACAACGCAAGATGGAGATTTGCGTCCTAAACAAGTACGTTATTTTACGAAATCTTTTAATTCTCATTTAAAAAACTTTTTTTAAAAAACAGGTTTTTAAACCCAATTTTTCACAAGGAACACGAATTTGGGGTCAAATTTGCAATATATGGCTTCTTTTTCGATTTTGTCGATCGCTCACGCGATCGTCTATGTATTGTACACCGCCTTCGGCGGCACCTATTTTAGCGCCATATTTATGGGGACCGGTATACTAGAAGTGTTCCCAAAAATGTTCTGTGAAAAACTGCGCAACCTGTAACGTTTTGATTACCAGCACTTCTTTTACATGTACTAGTAATCATACTTGATAGCGCTTCGTTACCAAACCGTGGGGAAATCTAAACTGCATTTGTTTATATATTGTCTACGGAATGGAATGTAATATTTGTGGACTGTTTTCTGTTGGTGCAACCAAGGGATCGGTTAACAAAAAATATTAGGGCAAAGATTTCAAATTAACAATTGGGGCCAGCAACGTCTTTGCAAACACCTTAATTTGTTTGATAATTCAATTTTTTCAATGGAAGTTAAAATTCTACAAAATACTAACCATCGTATAAACAGTCTACGATTGAATACACCTTTCTGTAGACAAGGAGAATACTGGATTAGAAAACTAGGCACAGTCATACGCTATGAATTCTTTATTTATTCCCATTCTTCAGATAAAGACTAAATGAAACCAAAGTAAAATCATATTTATAAAGTATAATTTTGAACGCAGTTTGAACAAGAGCAAAAGTAGACCTATGGAAACCCCTGTTTATCTTTGTGACGTATAAATTGTCACGCTGTGTGAAAACAGTAATATATCATTTAATATGTTTAGTTGGTCTCTCGACAAGTTTGATTTAAACAGATGTGTTTGCATGTACGTATAGAATGTTATATATAGAGAGATTTAACAATTTTCCTTATATTATGTGATTAACTTCAATCTGTAACTTTAAAGATATACTGTGGATAAATTTACATAACCTTGTGGATTCAGAGATACTTTTATGAGTATTATTGATTACTGATCTGCTAATTTTATAAACCTGAGGATCGGACTACCTTAAACAAGACGATTTTTAAAAATATATATACATATCTTTTGTTCTAACAAATAACAGGTTTACTTGACCTTTGGATGCTTTATTATGAATAAGACATTTTGATTTTCCGAAAAATCGGCGGGAATGGTGTATTAATCGAGAAAAGAAAACCAAGTTCGTAATTAATGTTTTTTCATTTGGTTATACTGGAAAATCTAACAGAAAACATCCGCCACAATGATAATATTTCAAAGAAACAATTTTGATAGCAGATAATTAGTTTTATGAATCGTGATGATAAAACCAAATTAATAATAATGTTTTTTCCTTTTGGTGATACTTTAGCAGCTGATGGAAAATGACAAACACCACTTAAAGATTTTCTATATTAAGAACAATAGGTACCAATGTACCCACGTTTTCATTTAAAGTAATATTTTTAAAACTACTTATATCCTTGCCTTTTAGTGCTCTTTTCTGATACAGATCATATTATTATATTATTTTTAAAAAACAGAGGTACTCTGAGCAATAAATGATATCCCTGCCTTCCATATGGTTGTAATGATAAAGTCCATGTTTTGATCTGGGAGGATCCAAATAATTGTTTGATCAAAAAGTAAAATAGGAGGTGCATAATGGCATTATGTAATGAAGAATATGTGAAAGTACCATTAAAGTTTATTTAGTGGTATTAGAGGAGCTGTGGATACCCTTCAATCCCAGCAGGCACACAACATTGAATAAACTTTGAATCAACGTTGTTTTTCTATGTTGATTCAACATTGATTTTATGTTAGATTTTGAAAATTTGTATCAACGTTGAAGTCTTAACATTGAATCAACATTGATAATCAACGTTGATTATATGTTGAAAAACAGTTGATTCAACATTTATTCAATTATTTATTTTGGAAAGGGTGGTGTCATATAGTAATAATATACTTACTTAAAATTTCAACCGTTTCATTGCACGGTTGCTAAGATGCCTTCGTAATTGTTGAAGGGATAGCGACCCTCTGATAAGACAGATAACTTTCAGAGTACAAAATAGTAATACTACTCATATTTTTCTTACTCCGTTTTCTGAGACCTTTGAGTAGTCAATTTGATGAGATCAAACATAGGATGGAAACATTACTTTCTATTTCTTTTGCAAATTTCTTTGTAATTGTTTTATTATATTTAACAATAAAACATTTAAATCCAACATCAAATGCCTTATAAATTGAAGAAGTTGTATCTTTTTAAGGACAGATGATACAAACAAATTTTATCTTTGGAGGAGACTTGATATCATGTCACAAGTTTAGAAAAGTGGATAATTCTTAGAATGTTTTCTCCTAAGAACTGGGTGATATATAATACTTGATTGAGCAAAAGCTTCTTTCCATAAAAGGCACTAAATAAAATTTACAGCTAAATTTTATACGATCACATTACTAATAAGTGTTGTTTTGGTCCGTTAAATTTACTCATTGTGGTCGATATTGATTTTTAATTGTTACTATGTGATCTGTACTTCGAAATATACCGGTACGTTGTCGTTCAGATCTTACGTTATCATTCAAATCTTTGTACATTATTTTACGTGAAAGGCGACTCTTGTTGAAAGTCAACTATTAAATTATATACTCTGCAAGTTGAATGGAAAGCATCAAATATTTTGATACAACTGTATTTTGTATGAGAAAGCTCTATCTTGGCTTTTGTGTTTGTCAGGTATTTACGAATGTACATGCCAGTCATTTTTAGATTGATACTTCTGGGTAACTATTTCTAAATATCTATAGAGCAAGCTTTAAGACGGTTCCATTTTGGATCACTCGTGAAAACTTTTAGGAATTCCAGTCCACTCCAATTTCATATACCTCAAAAATATTTCACGTGGTGATCAGATGTTTCTATACCGTGTTTTTATCA